ATTAAGAGTTAGAATATCAAAACAATGCCAGTTTCTAAAAAGAGCTTAATTGACCGATTTTCTGTAAAAATCTGCTCCCGAATAATCTTTCATCAAGATGAGTAATTAAATAACTTAAATAGACCCATTGGTTTCACTCCATACTCCAAATTAAGCATTGTCAGGCCCCTCCCTCTATCTTCCACCCCACATAATACATCGTAGAAAAGCTGCCTTTTTACTGCCTCTGCTCTGTTTGCATTTATGAGTTAACAGATGTGCATGGTTTGAAGAAACGGGTTCATTTCTTAATGGGAAGGAAAATCTTGTTTAGTTTTTCACTTATTTTTTTATGCACGGGATTTTCACTAACTTTGGACCAGATACTTGGCAGGAAGAATGTAAGGTGAGTAATTGGATATTTTTTAATGCAATGTATCTGTTAATTAATAATCAGTGCAAGCATGAAATAAGGTGGTTCTGTAATTTCTTTATATTGTTGCATACCTACATTTGTATAGAGTCCCAAATAGATATGCTAAATTAGGTCATTCGGTAGCTACTAAAATCACTGAACTTGAGTTTATAAATAAGAGATAAAAAACATCTTTATTATAAGAGGGAAGAATTATTTGTTTAGAATACCCAAGAAACAATTGTATTATGTACCAGACTATGTATCTATGAGAAAATGAGTCAGGTTTCTTTTGTACTTACAAGCAAATATTTATTTCACAGTTTCTCGCCATTATTATGTGAGAAGAGAGTAAGGACAAAAATTTAAAACCTCAGAAATAATGTATAACCTTCCTCCCAAAGAAAAGGTGTTAAATCATTTTAACTGGTAGGAGATGGTAATTGTGTGGAGTACATGCTATTTATAATTAACAAGCACATTTTTTTTCTGTTTTCTTTGTCCTTTTGGCTTTTTCCCATACCATATAAGGGAACATATAGACATTTATCTATCAAGAATAATATTTAGAATCTGAATAGCAATTAACTCATGGTCATATCTCCTAATTATTCATTATATGCCATCTCAACGAATATAACAGGGAATTTAGTGCGAATACAAAGGACAGCGGCTAGCAGAATGACCTGCCAAATTTATGTGAAAGAATCCTTAGGTCAACAGCTGATAAGAACTATAAGCACAGGCATGTTTTATTTGTCTTCCCTCACTGTTTCTAAATCAGTTAGTGCTTTCCTGCAGGTTCACTTTCTAATAAGCACGTTCACTTTCTAATAATAAGTCACCTGTATTCCTTAGGTGTTTAAAGCTTAGCAATGTTTCCTCACCTGGTTTATGCAGAAATGACTGATTTGTGTATTAGTACACTGGTAAAATGTACACCAAGAACCACAAAAATCCCATTTCTCCTTTTGAAGCAAGGTTAATGTTTAAATAATCTTAGGTTCAGAAGGAACCCTAGAAATCACACAAATCAATGGTCATTTGAATCTAATAATACATATTAATTCATCCGAAGGAAAAGTAGTTGCTGTTTTGTGAATGTTCTTTCAAATCGTGGATCTGAAATTAAAAATATCTTTCAACTCTTTGGATCAATTCAAGGTTCTTAAGTCTCTACGAAGGACAAGTGTATTATAAACCTGATACACGTTTCCTAAGCTTGGAGAGAGTAGGGATCACCACTCTTCCTTTACATATTCCTTCCTCTATTTGGGTTTATGCTTAAACAGAAAGGAAATCTTTTTCTTCTCAGACAGCATCCTGTGTGATCTCCCATTTCCACCTCCCTTTCAGAGTTGGTTTGTTCATTAATTTGTTCGTTCGTTCATGGATGTGACATATGTTTTTAATACTTGGTACTTCTTTTAAATAGCCGGGCACTTTTTTAGGTGCTGGGTCTACAGGGGTATGCAACGCAGATATAGTCCCTGCCTTCATGGAGTTTTAGTCTACTTGGGGAGAGCTCATTCATGAATGATATTATTACAAATAAGCTGTGAAACATGCTGTGAAATCAAAGTATGGGAGGCTATGAGCACATATAACGGGGATCTCAACTAGTCTGAGTAGTTAGGGACAGTGCTCTTGAGGAAGTGATATTTGATCTGTGATCTGGCGAATATGGTGGAAATAACGAGGATGCAGGGGGAAGAGGAGAATATTTAAGGTAGAGGGAACAGCAGGTGCTAAGCCTGATTAGGGAAGAAGCATTCAGGGAATGTCGCGAGCCGCTGCCAGGCACACAGTCCGCGCTGCAGTCTCTTCCTGCAAGTCAGTGGGACTAAACCACGAGACCCTCGGTGTCGCCTGGAGCCAGAGCCGGAGCCCTCGAGTGGATAGCCTAAGTCTGCGTGCTAGCCATGGGCACAAGTGAAGAACCAAGCGCACAAGTTCTTTTATGCCTTTCACTATGCTCTTGAATCACACAGAATATAAGGCTACAACAACCTTAGCATCAATAGCTACATCACACCATAACATAACCATAACGTAAGTAAATGATAACGAACCAGTCCCGAAGTCAATCAGAGTCCTGGTGGAGCGAGGAAGGGCAGCTGGTCTGGGAGGTCATTCTGGCAGAGAGGTTCCATCTGAACAGAGCAGAGCAGAATGGCAGCATGGTCACCTTTCAGTTGAGACCGGCTCTCCGAGCTGTCAAAGTCCTGAGTTCTTAAGGACTTTGTAGAGTCGTGTGATGTGACCCTCTCAGTCCTCACAGACATGTCTCCTGTCAGTCTATGGAGCCGTAGCATCATCCATCTGGTGGTTGTTTACTTGTGTAAAACAAGTTGTTTATCTTCATGGGGAATTTCCACAGCACTCAGTGTCCAAGATGGAGTTACTCTTGCTCATACGAAATGGAGTCACTCTTGTTCATACAAAAACACACTTTTCAGGGGTGCTCTACACAGGGAACTAAAGAATGTTAGTGTAGCTGGAGCAGAAAGGGGAACAAGTAAAACGAGGTGAGCACAGCTTGCAGGCTGAGGTCTTTCAAGGGCCTTGTACAGCCTGGTGGGAATGTGGTTTTCCATGATGAAGATTCATGAAGGCGTACATGGGAGATGAACACCTGGTAAATCAAAAATATGGCACCAGCCACTACGAGCCTACGGCTCTAGATTACTTTTCAGGTATTGTATCGATCCCTTTTTCTAGAAAAGGGTCTGCACATGTAGGTTTAAAAATAATTAAATTATAAAAAAATAATAATTTTAATTGTTTTTAAAACTGTTTTTCTCAGTTTGTTCACACAAATAATTTTAACCAGATTTGTTTGTTTGTTTGTTTCTGCTTTAGTGTAGAGATTATGTAGTGATGCAAAAATGCATATATATTTCGTATTTGGTGAGATTATGGCTTCCCATAAAACCTTATTAATTCAGGCTTATGGGTGTGGACAAAGCCTATTTAAATTCCAGTTTATGTAAAAAAGACGTATAACAGCATTATTGTATGTTCATGACCATAGATTCATTGAAAAAAAAATCTGTGTTGTCTACTAAAAGGTTTTTATTAGTAAATACATGTAAATTTTTAATTAGTGGGGCAAAGTCATAAGCTAAGCATATTAATGATATGGGAGCTCATTCATTCATTCATATACTTTTATTCAATAAACATTAAGCTCTTGTGCTAAATAGGTATTTCCAAATGACTTGATAATTTTTTATCTTATTTAGGTAAAATTTGTCTCATAATTTTCATTTTTTGTTCATTAAGATTTAACATTGAATACTGAACCCTGTATCATGAAATATGATTTTTAAATAAATAAAGTTCAAATTAAAGAAAATTTAAAAATCTGTTTGTGTATGGCATTTTTAGAAAGCTTGAAGCTCCTGGTGAAGTATTGTCTTGGCATTAGTGTTTCTTTCATATGTTCAGTTACTTTTTAACTTGCACTATGAGATTGGAGTTTAAATAGATAGAGATCTTTTGGCTAAAGCATATCGCTATTATGGTTACATGATTACTTTGATCTGAGCCTCACTTTTGCTGCCCAGGAAATTAAATTTCTTAGAAGTTTACATTTACATTTAGCTCTGTGATCCGTTTTGAATTGATATTTGTGAGATAAGGTACTTGTAACTTTTTGGAGCCTGGGATAAAGAAAATGTTCTATTAGCTTCCAAAAATAAAAAAGAAGAATCATGCAAGGATTTAGAAAATGTATCTCTCACACTTTTTCACAGGAAGCTACTCCAGCAAAGTAAGGGAGAAAACCAAGAAAGAGGAAAGCATTGGCTCTAGTAAATAATGGATCTACTAAGCTAGATGATGGGGTCACATATTTGGTGGAGAGTGTCATGTTTTTCTGTTTATATTTATGTATGTTTGCAATGTTACATGATAAAAAAATGTGTATATCTTCTAACTCAGCAATTGCACTTCTAAGAATTTATCTTAAGGGATTTCTCAGGGGTATGAGCATATAATCCACAATAATGTTCAATGTAGTATTTTTTTATTAATTGTAAACATCTTAAATATTTAACAGGAATTTGATAAGTAAATTGATACATTTCTATGATATAATATCACACGGAATTCAAAATTATGTGAAAAAAAATGTAATAACATGGAAAAATATTTGTGATATATTTTAAGTAAAAAATGTTTTCAAAACAATGTTTATAAAAATCTGTTTTTAAATTTTATGAAAAGGAAATTATATGTGGTGTGTGTATGTAGAGTAAAACACTGGGAGGATATATATTATAACATAATTTTCAGAAATACCTTTTTGGCAATTGAGTCCATTTTTTTTCAATAAAAAGGGTTGAATTTTTTCACCTTAATATGTTAACAGTACAATGTAGTATAAACTTTTTCTGTAAAATATTTTATTTCTTTGAAAAACATATACTACTTTTTAAATCATAAATTCACTTTTAAAAAGTAGACAGTTTTGACAGGCTGATTTTTCTGCTCTTTTACTCTGGAGTGTAATAAACCCAAATATCCTCCTGAAAACTTCATAAAGAATTTGAAATATAGCTATTTGTTAAGCATCTTTTATTTTTTTATTTTCTCATTTCAGCTCTCGAACATCTTCAAATAAAGAAGTGGTTATAAAGAATGGTAAGACCTATAATTGCTCTTGTGATTTCTTGGGAGGTTGAGGAATGATTTTGTCTGCGATGGCCTTCCCTGAACATTAGTGCTTGCACCAAGGGTCTGTCATGTGAAAATCTCTTAAACTAGTATATTCTAAATTCTGAGCTCAAAGATATTCAAGTCTGGTATATTTCACAAGTCTGGTATATTTCACAGTGCTTAGCATGTTATTATCACTGAATTACATTAATCGATCAATAACATTTACCCTTTGTGTTCATGTCATTTATTTTACAGATCAACAGAATAATGGAGATATTAAACCAATCAAGAATTTCACAATACCAATCACACAGGTATGATTATGTTAGGAAACTAGATTGATGTGGGTTTAAAAAATTTTTTTAATACAATCAGGTCAGAGCCACTGTGAAAATATAAATGATTCTATTAATAAACAAAATTATTGCTTGAACTTGGGGTGGTGAAATGTATCATGGTAATTTCATAGTTGAGGAAAAACTAAAGTTTAACTTGCTTTTGTAGATTTTATTACAATATTAAGTTTTACTTTTGTTGCTTTCCAGACAGGATCGCTGTAGTACCACTTTATCTTTGGCTTACTGACACGCTTAGATTGCCACTGCCTGTTCAATTTCTCTTTCATTTGTACATGTAGTATACTGGAGTAACTGGTATGGAATAGTTGATCTAGATAAGTGTATCTTCTTTCAGATATGGACCTGCCTTTGTGACTCCCAGAGTCAGGTACTGAAGTGCACTGTCTCAGGCTTCCTGGAAATCGGCAAAAGTTTCATAAGATGTAGAACGATGTTGGCATACCTTGCTAGTTTATGTATATTAAATGACCTGGGACTGCACTGTCCAAGACAGTAGCCACTAGCCGCATGTGGCTATTTAAATTTAAATTCAAGTGAAATAATGGTAAGTAAAATTAAAAATTAAGCTTCTTAGTTTCACTGGCTGCATTTCTAGTGCACAAGAGCTACATAGAGTCAGTGGCTACTGCGTTGGACACTGCAGATATAGAACATACACAATATTGTAGAAGGTTCTGTTGGACATTAATGGGATGGAGAATTATGCTTGATTTCTAAAAACCTCCTGTTGTCTTGTTTAGGATGTTAATTTCTTTATTTAAAGTCCTGCATTATTTGAAGTCTTATGATATTATTTTCTGACAAGATTACTGCCATTAGTTTCAAGGCATGGTGAATTTTTAAAAAAATTAATAGACTTTATTATTTTCTTGAGTAGCTTTAGGTTTACATAAAAACTTGAACAAAAAGCAAAGAAGGTTCCCATATACCCACTCAGTCCCTGCCCCCTCCAATTCCTCCTGTATTTAACATCTTGCATTAGTGTGGTACATTTGTTGAAATTGATGAGCCAATATTGATACATTATGATTAACAAAAGTCCATTGCTTACCTTAGGGTTGACTCTTGTGTTGTACATTTTATGAATTTTAACAACTATATAATGGTCTCTATCCAAAGCATTATACAGAATTATATAGAATATAATACTACAGTATGATATAGAATAATAGTTTTCAAGGCCCTAAAAACCTGCTCTGCTCCACCAGTTCATCCCCTTTGTCCCCCAGCATTAACTTTTTAAAATCTATATTGATAATGTTATGTGCAAAGTTGTTTTGTTTTGTTTTGTTTTTATATTTTGGTCTTTCCCATTTTGGGTGTGTTGTGGAATAGGGTTCATGTGCCTTTCAGGTATATCTCTCATTTTAAGCTTGTTATGACCTTTGCCCCACAATAGGATGGACTCTGGAGCTAGAGAGATCAGAGTTTCAACAGGTTGTAAATTAGCTCTTTTACTTCCAAGAAGTCTTTTGTACTATGGAAACTAATTTATCTCTTAAATTTTGTTTGCTTGGTTAATTAGGCCCTCCACTACAATCTGAGCAGACAAGAGCATTTAGAAAAAGAACCTTGGAATGCATTCAGCCGTCATAGCCCTATTAATGTCTCCATGGATGGAATTCCCTGTATTCTCTTCTGGGCCAAAAGGATAACAATTAAATTTAAGAACCAGACCTGGCTGGACCTTACAGATGCAGCATATGGCCAGAAGGCAACAGTGGAGCCTCACAACTCAAATTGCAGTGAAGAAAGTGCTATGTAAGTTGACCATTTCGCTGGAGGAAGCCCTTGGGGCCGCTGTAGTCTATTAAGTGGACAGTCCAGTTTTCTGTCATTTCAGAAAAAAGAAGTAGGCTTCTTGGTACATGACCCTGACACACATCTTTGAGGAAATGTTTAATGCTTAAAATGGAATAACAAGTCAGAAATTAATTTTTAAAATTTTGTTATTTTTTTACCCAGCAATTTTCTTCAGAACCCTTTAGCGGGTTGTTACAATACCTGGTGGAAAATCAGGCTCTGAAATTGAAGGTCCTCAAACTCATTCTGAAAAAGAGAAAAGGATTCCAGGCGTGTTATCAATTCCAAATGTGAGGTGTCAAAGTACTTTAGTCCATCAGGGAGGAAATTACATATCACAGAGTAGAGTCATACATATTCTAGTATGTGAGACAGAGATGGCTGACTCTAGTCAGGGCAGATGTTTGATTCTCGGGAGTGTTCTGAAGTTGTGGAACATTGTTAGCAGATGTGCATGTGTACCTTTGGATGCCCAAATTTCAGAGAATTTTAGCATATTTCAAAATGGTTAGAATAATTACTTTTGATTTGAGATAAACAGATTAAACAAATATCCCTTTTGAAGAGGAAATCAGTTTCCAATGCCTTTCTTTGCTTTTCAGTTGTCCAAGCAAAGTTTTTCGCTTGTATTTGTTTTGGTCCAATGGGAGGAAGTCTGACATGTCCCGCTTACTTTCTATAAACCTCCTTGCTTTCAACATTTGCTAGTATAATGGAGGCTTTTGGAAGATTCTGCTCTGGCCTGGTTTAGGTGGGCAGAATGCTTTGTGTAAACCATAACATACTGTGTGTGTTTGTGTGTGTATTCTTTTTATATTTATATGCTTTGGCTAAAAACACTTTTTTATTTCTGAACTTCTCATTTAAAAATTCTTGATGATCGGTACAAATGGATTATAGTAATATAAACTTACAAGTTATATTACAAGTCTTACTACCTTGTTATTCAGGATAACTATCTCTTATTAGGGAATTAGGGAATTGTAAGCATAAGCATCCAGAGTCCTCCCAGATTTGTTTATTCTGTTACAGCATGATTATAGAGGAGACTCCAGCACTGCTGAGAGCTCAGGACTTCCTCAGGCTCTAATTAATTCCCTGCAGGGCCCTTGATTTGTGGTCAGCTGTGCCGAGAGGCCGATTGCCTGGCGATCGTCTTGCCTGTCCACAGCTGACTGAACACCCTTGATTCCATTTATCATGATCCCAGGATATTTTGCTGGGCGTTAGAACTGTAAAGAGCACTGGGAACCCAGAGACAGAAAGCATGAAAACTTGGTTTCTAGTCCCAGTTCTGCCAGTGAGCTCTGTGACTTTATAAGCTGGAGGCACCGTAGGGACATCATCTATGAGATGGAGATGATGACGTCTATAATTTTAATTAACAGGCCTGGAGCGCCTACTGTGGGCCAGTACCACTCAAAACTCCACAGGCACAGCATCTGTTATTCCAAACAATACTATTGAGAACAAGCCTCTGAGTCTCGGGTACTATTATTATCCATGTTACAGGTGAGGAAGTCAAGGCTTATAGAGGTCAAACAACTTGCTAAGATCATACAGCTTGTACGGTGATAGAGCTGGGGTCGAAAACGTCTTTAATAATAACATTTTACCTCCTCTCTCGGCCCTGTCTCGTAGGGCTGCGAAAATCAAGCAAGGAAATATATGCATGAGAACTGTGAGAACTTGTCAAGTGCTACTTGAAGTAGTAGATTAACTTCCTAACATACTAATGATAACTAGAGTAAAACAGTGTCCAGTTACCTGGTGAAGAGGCCTAGGGAAGCTTTGTTTTTCACAATGCACCCATTAATGATTGGGTGACCTGACTTTTTTCTTCTTGATCACCACCCTGGAATTGTACTCAGAGCAAGAACTGAGTATACAGCATCCACTTCCTGAAGTCTTGCTCAGGCGAGTGTGCAGGCAGGCGTCCTGGAGGGCCCATCCAAGGGGACAAGTGGGAGGCTTCCCAGGATGTGAGGCATTCAGCGTCCAGCTGCTGAGACCGAGTGTCCCTGGTCCCTGAGAATGGCACAGATTAGTGAGATGCCTTTGCTGTTCTGGCTAGGAAATCTTATGTTCTCAAGAACCAGAAAGGGGGGTCACTGAAAGGAGTAACCCAAGCAAAGGCATAACCATATAAGGTCAAAAGCACAGATTTAAAAAATAAAAGATGACCATGTTTTAGCGCTTGGAAGCAAAATGTTCAGGAAACGGCAAATTGTTGGCAGACAGATTAGCCACGGAAATCTTTTTAAATACTAAAAGCCCTACAAATAGAACATAATCCTAGCATCTGTCTGTATTTTGAATTTAGGCAATTATAGTCTGAAGAATTCAGACTCTATTTTGAAAGTGGGAGGGTAAGGCGGTTGGAAGAGTAAAAGAAGCTCCTTTTTGAGTGACTTGCTAGGTGCTATTTCTTTGTTTCCAGTTTATGGTGCTTGGCACTCAAAAGAGTCTCTCTGAATGATCGTTCAGTTTGCTGTGTTGAAATCAGGCCTCGTGTTCTTCAGTCTACAGCAGAGCATGTTACCAGCTTTCACTGAAACATGGACTATTGGAGGAAGTCCTAGGGGCGCCACAAGCCTGGAGGCCATTGAGCTGCTCCATCAGGAGAGGGGACAGAGATTAGGTTGGTCTTAGCATGGCTTTGCTTTCGGGTTTATTTCCTTAGCCGTAGAGCCAGTTCACGGGTAACTACAAATAGGCAATAACCACATTGTTCCCTTTTAAGTCCTTGGAAAAACTAGAGAAATTTCTGTTAAAATAAGTGATCAGTCAGATTGATAAAGTTCTATTTAAGAAATGCATTTTATTTCTTTAAAGTATTTTCAGTAATTTGTAACAGACTAGCAAAATATTGTTAGAGAAAGTTCCTGTAGAAAACTTGCTTTACCGAGTAAATTAGCTTATAAAGCTTTTGTAAATGAGTGCCTCGAAGGTAGTTAAGCTTATGATGTTAGGGAATAAAAATATTTATAAGGTTTATTTTAAATGCCCCCTCCCTTTCCTCCATAAATAGTATTAAAATAAACTTTAGCCCAGTTGCTGACATTTCTCTTCTTGATAAGTGGAACCAAATTAATGAGATTACATATGTGTGGTATTTTTCTCAAGCTTGTAATTGGATATTTTATAACTACTTTTTTTGTTTTATAATGTATATTAAAGTGTTATAACGTTTATACATTATAATGTCTCATAGCATTGTCATCCTTTGTGCATCTAAATTTTTCACATTTTCCCATTTCAATTATTTAGCTTTTTATCATTCCTATTTTTAACCTTATTGAAATATAAATGAAATATACTAAACAGTATGTATTTAAAGTGTACAGTTGATCAGTTTTGACATATGTGTACACCCATGAAACCATCACCACACTCAAGGCAGCAAACATTTAATCTTCCTCAAAAACTTCTTTGTGCCCCTTTGTAAACCATCACTCCCACCAATCCCACCTCTCCAGGTAGCCACTGATTCGCTTTCTATCATTACAGGTTAGTTTGTATTTTCTAGAATTTTATATAAATACAATCATATAGTATACACTCCTTTTTAGTTTGGCTTCTTTAACTTCAGCACAATGATTTTGATATCCTTCTATGCTATTGCACGTATGAAAGTTATGCTCCTTTTTATTGCCAAGTAGCAAGCACTACATTGTATGCATATGCACAACTTATTTATCTGTTCACCCCTGGATGGAAATTTGTTTCTTCTCCCAGTGTTTAGATAACTTTCAAATAAATTTGCTATAAACATTCATGTACAAGTCTTTGTAGGAGCACCCATTTTCATTTCTTTTAGGTAAATACCTAGGAGTGGAATGGTTGGAATATATAGTATGTGTGCATGTAGCTTTTTAAGAAATGGCCATGCTGGTTTTTGGAAGCTGTGGTATCGTTGGCCTTCCCACCAGCACTGTATGAGAGTTCCAGTTGCTTCATATCCTTACCAACACGGTGTGGTCAGTGTGGGACTGTATTTTATATTTCTGCGTGGTTAGTAATTTCTGAACGCCTTTCACTGGGACCTGGGTTAAAAGATAAGCCTTGGGGTTAGTAAAAGACTTCCTACCTCGGAGGAATGTGTTCACGTGTCAAGGAATAATGACCTTAGGACCACGGAGACATCCCAGGGCTTGGAAACCCAGGGAGGCTTCTGATCCTCCCCTTGGAGACATTTGTTTACATACCATGGTGTTAGCCCCCAGCTGTTTGTTTCCTTTGTGGTGAACTCTTTGTATCCAGGCTAATGAAACTCACCTGCTTACATTCTGAGATATGTACCAAGGATTCTCCCCTTTTATCAAGTAAAATTTTTGACACTAAGGAAGCAAATGTTTCTGCTGTCTCAGGAGGTGATGGAGAGCGGCTGTCTCTCTCCTGTATAAACTCTCAGGTTCATAATTTTGGTGTTCCTCAGCTGTATTACAAATCCCAGCATGTGCAGGATGATATCTGGCTCTCTTCCTGTTGCCAGGGGAGAATTGGGTTAAAAGGGAACCAATGTCGGGCCGGCCGAGTGGCGCGTTGGTTAAGAACTGGCTTGGGATGCCAGAGGCCCCTGTTCGGATCCCACACATGAGGGCCAGTGACACTGCCCTCCACAACTAAGATGCTGAACAACAGCTCAACCTGGAGCTGGGCTGCTGTGGGTTGCAGCTGACGCCGTAGGCTGCAGCCCCTGCTGCAGTGGGTTGCCATGGGCTACCGTGTATAGCCAGCAGCCAGCGTGAGCGGCCAGCAGCCACCGCTGTGAGCGGCCGTCCAGAAGCCGGCGACTGATCTGCCTCGCCCGGGAGGAGCGCAGTGATGGTGCCAACTTGGGCCAGTGAAGCAACATCCTCCAAACTAGACTGAAGAACAAAACGACAGCAACTTGTCTGTTCCCCTCTTCCCCAATTCCCCAATAAAATCTTTAAAAAAAAAAAAAGGGAACCAATGTGGTTACTGGTATGAGGAAATCTCATGTTAAATTTCAAGAAAATGTAAATAAATATAGATATTAAAAGCTTAATAGAAGGTATTTAAAAATGTTTTAATCATTCTGATTACTATGCCATGGTATCTTATAGTGGCTTTATTTTATATTTTCCTGATTACTAATGATGCTGAGCATCTTTTCATGTACTTATTGGCTATTTGTATATCTTCCTTTGTGAAATGCCCATCTTTTGACCATTTTTAAGTTAGGTTGTCTTCTTATTGAGTTGTTGGTGTTATTATATTCCAGATATAAGTTCATTATGTATGTGTTGTGAATATTTTGTGCCATTCTGTGTCTTGCTATTTTTGTTTTTTTAACAGTGCCTATTGAAGAGCAAACTTTTTTGAATTTAACTAAGTATAATTTATCCATTTTTTAAATAGTTCACACTTGTGTGTTTTTTCAAGAAACCGTTGCCTACCCAAGAGTGCAAAAATGTTTCCCTATGTTTCTTTTTTAAATTTTTATAGTTTTAGTTATTGCATTAGGTCTGTGATCCATTTTGAGGTAATTTTCAAGTACAGTGTGAAGTAAGGGTTATCCCTATTTTGATAGACTGTGTTGTTTCTGTTTTCTTAGGTTGTCTCTGAAGTTTGGTGATGCCGAAAATCCCAAAGTCCTTGGTATAAGGTAGGTATGGATACCACTTTGGAGTATCATAGGTTCAGCAATTCAGATTAGCTCCATCTAATTTATTCATTCAACGTGTAGGTATCCAGGGCCCGCTGTGTGCTAAGCACCGACATGTGAAATGTCACATCTACCTAATTACACTGAAAAGTCAGTGGTGTGATGTGATGGGATTCTAGAGTAACGCTTTTTTTAGTTTTTACGAAAGCATCTATAGTTTCCTCAATTAGGGACCTGGAGAACACATGAGCCCATGAATGTGAGAATGTGTTACCCTTTTCCTCTGAGCAAAGAATAAAATGTATTGAAAGCTCCAAGGGCTGAGGCTCTGGTTTGAAGTGATATTCTGTATAACTCCTTACAATGAATCACACATCATTTAATGATAATGAAGAAGTGTCTGCTAGCTGAATTCCCCAGCAGTCAGCCAGCCCAGGCCTACATTTTTCTGTGTATATGTATGGAAGGATGCATCTGCCAACAGTGGTTTATCCAGGCAGCTAGGAACTGCTCTGAGGATGAGATGGCAGCAATTTGAAGGCATGAAGTTTTTTATTATTATTATAAAAATATAATGTTTCCCTTCCTATAAGACCAGTCTTTCAGTGGAGGTGGTAGCTGTGTCTTTGACATCACTTGAAAAACAAGCAGGATGTGTTAAGACCGCCTTTCCTTAGCTGTGTTCTGTGAAATACTTCTGCTCTGTGAAAATATTTCTAAGATTTCCCAGGAGAGGCATTCTGTGGTCAAGCGTGTTTGAGAGAGACTGTACACCACGTGCTGCTCTTGGAGATTCTCAGTGTAAATTTGTGTCTTAAGGTTTCTGTGAAGGTTGTTGCACTTGGTAAGTTTGATTAACCTAGTGTTTCCCACATTTAACCTTGGAAAGCTCTCTCCTCAGGACACTTGCCTCCCTATCATGGGACTCTACTGTTTCATTGATCATAACAGAGAAAAATGCCTGCCATCACCTTGCAGAGAAACTTTATAAGAAAAATAGAACCCCACAATGTGACCAAACATATATACGTATCTGTTTGATAAATAGAAATGAGGAATATTTTCTATTCAAATCATGCTTTTTTTCCAAAAAGGAAAATAGCTTCATGATATATATATATATATTTTGATGATAAAATAATGTGGCAAACACTGTTAGTACACCATCTATATCTCCTTGGGCATTTCTATTTGAGAGCACTATAGTCCACCAACTCAACTTTCAATGGCCAGTCTTTCTTTGTCTAGAAGTTTTCGCTGGCCAAAGGGGCCCCACTGCCTCCCATCCCTGTCCCAGCAGCCCTCCCCCAGTGACTGAGAGAGGTGTAGAAGTACCCCAGGTCCCTCACCCTCCATGAGATAACTCAGAGGCATGCCTTTTACTCTGGTTCCCATTGTCCCCCATGGGCAGTTGGCCCCATTGGCCCACTGTGGAAACTCGCTTAATAATAGGTCCTTTCTGGCTGTCTTACATTCTTTTGTTATTTCTCTTCTCTCAGTTCTACATATTTTGAATGACTAAATACCCAAATAAATTTGGGATCACCTTCCAAAAATACTTCCTGTATTCACATCCTTATCTCAGGGTCAGCTTCTGTAGGAGCCCAAACTAAGACAAAGTAATACATGTCCCCTGACAACATAAAAGTCAGAAAAGTTGAGCTATAAAAAGAAAATGAAAATCACCCACAATCCAACCACCATTTGGAATCACTATTAACATTTTGATCTCTGTCCTTCCAGGATATTTTTGTATGCAATCACACATTTCGTTTTTAGGGAGAAAAATGCTCATGGCATATGCACATTATAACGTTTTTACATTTGGAGAATATTCCATTCCCAAATGGCTGACAATAAGAGCTCTGGTCACCAGATTGGATTCAAAGCCCAGCTCTAATACTTAACTCTCACAGTGAACTTGCCAAGTTATTTAACCCCTCTGTGTCTTAGACTCCTCATCTGCAAAATGAAGGTAGTATTATCTATCTCATAATGAAGATGAAATAAAATACACATAAAAAACATAGACAGTGCTTGACACATAGTAAGAGCTGTTACTATTATTTTTGACCAGTGTTTATTTAGTTAATTCTATAATGATGTCCATTTAAGTTTTTCTCAATTGTTTTGCAATAATAAAATCAAATGTTGACTCTAAAACAGAAAAAATCCACCTGAAACTAATATAAAAACATATCGAATGTTAACTATTTTATATATATACATATATATATGTATATATATATGTATATATATCATGGGATGTAAAGTACAGCATAGGGAATATAGTCAATGGTATTGTAATAGCTACGTATGGTGTCAGTTTTAAACAAACTCCGAAAAGCACAGTTTTAAACAAACTCCGAGGTGATGCTGGTAGTGTGGTCCTGGGCCCACACTTTGAGAAACACTGCTATAGACTTTTCTTCCCATACATTTCCTTTTTCACACTTTAGTCTTTGCTTTTTATTCATTGAAAAATAGTAGTATTTCTCTTAAAAGCAAAACAGAAAAAAAAGCCAAGCTTTTTGTGTTTTTCCTTTTGTAGGAATTGTATTGCTCACTTTGGGGAGCTGCGTTGTTATTTGCTTTCATTCCCACTCAGCAGGAAGCGCTTGCTCAGAACCAAAGTAAAAAGCTCTCTTGGCGTCAATTTTACTACCTGACAAAAGAGGGTGCAATTGTACTGTTCATAGAGGATGTCCTGTGTCAGCAAATGTAAAAGTGCTTTGGGGGTAACACTGTTTTATGATCATTTTCAGATTCACCCTTACCAATTACAACAAGTTGTCCATGCAGAGCTGGTTTAGTCTGCACCAAGTCGAGATTATTTCTAATAATTCAATCCAAGCAATTTTTAATGCAACTGGCGTCTATGCTCCATCAAGTCACTCTTACCACTGCCAGCATGTCAGCAGCGGGCGGCAGTATGATGCCCTCTTGCTGCCCAGTGACACGGATGATATGTCAAGCCTGTGGGAGGTCACTTTTGTTGATTTCCAGGTAATAAACTAAAACATATGCCTCTGTGTATTTGATGCCGAAGAAATTCAGCGTTTGTTTGAAAATACCTGAGATTGAAACATAGGTGTTTAAGGAAAAGAAAGATGTGGATACCTTTAAAATAATATTGGTAATTTTTTTTTCTTTATCCTCTAAGGCAGTGGTACTCAACCTGTGGGTCGCGACCCCTTTGGGAGGTCGAACGACTCTTTCACAGGAGTCACCTAAGACCATCGGGAAACAAAAAGATATTTACATTACGATTCATAACAGTAGCAAAATTATAATTATAGAGTAGCAACGAAAATAATTTTATGGTTGGGGGTCATCACAACGTGAGGAACTGTATTAAGGGATCGCGGCATTAGGAAGGTTGAGAACTGCTGCTCTAAGGACTGAAATAGAATAGAATAGTTTCATCTCCCTGCACACCCTCCACGCCTCTTTCTTTTAAAGTCAGGTTTATGCAGTCCCTAATAATTATCAGGGAAGAATGCCAGCAATCTAAGCCGGAATGAAGCGGTGGCCTGAAGCCCAGTGACTGACACTTCCAAGAGTGAGAGGCCCTTCTAGGGAGAGGAATTATCAGACAATTATTTTATTTCCTTCAGGGAGTGGAGCAGTGATCCTATCAGGGCAGATAAGAAGTACATCTGTAGCGTGAGTGACAGCTTTGGCAGTTAGGTAGGAATGGAACTGTCAGCCAGAGAGTCAAAAATATCTCAAAGATCCTCTTGAAAATATTTGGGGAAAGGCATGGGGGCAAAGAGGTGCTTTTTCACCATCAGAATGTCAGGTTGAGAGACATCTGTCAAGTTCCTCTGTCCTGTTTACTTGTGAGAAAAGCTTTAACTTGTTCTTCCAACTCACTGAAATAGCAGGCACACTTGCCCCTTCTATGGGCACTTAACAATCTTTCCCAAATATAAAGGGAAGTTCATATATATGTGTATATATATTGGGTTGTTGGAAAAGTCATGACATACTTTTTCTATGTTTTTCGTTGCAAAAATGCATCATGACTTTTCTGACAACCCAATATATTTATATGTATTTAATATATAATAAATACATTTTTATATATGTATTTACGTGTCTCCCCCCAGCTTGGAGAGGTGTAGTGTTGATGAGGTGTAGTTTGAGGTATGGAAGGAACTCGCATTTTAGGCCCCAACAGACCTGGTTTCAAATTACTTCTCAGCCACCTGAGCAAATTACCATTTCAATTTTCAGTTTCTGACCTATCCTTATGGATGTCAAGAATTCACGGCCTAATTTTTGCGGCAACACCTGGACTGTGGCAGGCATGGATTAACAATAGCTACTACTGTGAGCCCCCTCTTGTGTGTCTGCACTGTTGTAGTTATTTTATATATTTGTCTTCAAAATATATCATAATGCTGCAAGGTAGCTGTTATTATCACTGTTTTACAAATGAGGTAACTAAAGCTCTAATTTTGAATAATTATGTAACTGGTAAATGGTAGAGGCAGAGTTTGAATTCTGGACTGTCTAGCTCCAAAGGCATTTGTGTGTGCGTGTGCGTGTGCGTGTGCGTGTGCATGTATGTGTATGTGTATGTGCGCGCATGTGTGCATGTGCATTTTTTTTCTTTGTCTTGCCCCTTAAAAGACAGGCAGGTAATAATGCAAATGAGGAATAATTCATCCACAATCTCACCTAATTAGAACAGAGGAATTGACTGATTTATGCCTCCACCTTGTTCCAGAAATGACTTAAGGTGACTTATAAACATACTACAAGAAAAATAAGTTTGCAAAATGGGCAAAGACATGAGGCTAAGAAAAACAAAAGAAGAAAAGGTTGGTTAGAGGCACTGGTAAGGTTGGTATAGAAGACCACAAGGCCGTCTGTCCGCGCTGGCTGGAGGTGGCTCAGTAACTTGGCTCTGAAACTTTGGAGCAGCCAGCAGAAGAAAGAACCATCCGGTTACATGTCCATGGGGTCCATAGGTCTACTGAAAATGTGCTTGTGAGAAGTACATCATCCCTGTGTGGGCAGCATGTGCCAACCTTTTGGACAGCAGCCCTATAGTGGGCGCAGCTGGGTGTCAGAGGTGGGCCTTGTTAAAACACTTTAATGGAAGCAGATGGCAGAATGCAAACTCAGCCCAAGCGAGAGGTGCTGGTGGCTGAGGGATGTGTACAGAAAGAAGGCAGCATTCTACATATGCCGCTTTGCTGACCTGGCATATTCTAGAAATAAAGCCTAGAGTGACGTCACATGCGTGGCACACTCAGGTGCTTCAGGTAGGCCAGCTGCGCGGACTGTGGCAAAGTGTAGCCAGCATCAAAAGGAGTGTATTTTATTCAACTCCAGCTAATTTTTGCTTTGTAGGAATGCTGGCCTAGTGTTGCTGGATCTTTTGACTTGTTAGTAGAAGCTAAAAATCTGGATTCTTGTGGGAAGTTTTCAGGATGTTCAGAGCTCTGGGCCAAACAAAACTCACCTGTGGACTGGATACAGAGTACTTGCACTCTCTAGTCCAGAAAAGGAATGGACAACGTACCCTTCAGGCAGCCTCCACAGATCCTGTTCTCAACCAAGTCTTGCTAGGAATTACGTGGCAGTCAGTGTGAGGACATTCTCTTTGGCTGGAGTTGCAGCATTAATCGGGGCCAGCTTTTATAACTGAGGAGCTTGACTCATCAGGCACCACTCTGAAGACAAGGCCACTTTGCCTCTCCATGCAGAGGGCAGGCCAAGGATCCCAGGAGCCAGGCCAAGAATCTCCCTCAGAAGCTGTTTTGGATTGAGTCTAGCGCAAAGACAATTGGGCGAGATAGGCCCCTAAGGTATGTGGCATGATGGGTGGCTACAATCATTTTAGCATGGAAAAGTGCTACTGGGCCCACTTAAGTCATAAAAATGAATTCTCGGTAAAACACTCATGGATAATTGAATTTTCTGATGTATGCCTTTAAAACCAACGAGGTGACTGAATAAAGTGATGCAGTACAGAGTTATTTTCTAAAAGCCAGCTAAATGTGGGGGCTGCCTTCCACAAACGATTACTGCCGTTAAGAGTAGTTGCTCTGTAGCCCTGTTACTCTCATTGTGACAGTGTTTAGGTACTGGGGCCAATTGTTAATTTGAGCCTCTCCTGGTTCCCAGTAATTAAACGACTTCATCTTCACATATGGAAAAGCTTTCTTTTCTATTCTCTGGATAGGACACAAGGAGGGGCTGATATACAACTCTTCCAAAAACCATACCAAATCTGTAGCGTACGACGACTGGTAAAGAGGTGACGGGAGGAAGAAGACAGAACACAGCAGTCGTTACGGAGTAGTAAGCTTGAGGAGTCACTCAGACGCTATACTGCCTGAGCTTGAATCACTGCTTTACTTACACTTAACGCTGTGTGATTCTGGACAAGTTACTTAAGTTTTGTGCCTCATTCTCCTCATCCATAAGCTAGGGATAAAATAGTAATTTACAGGCTCTTATAAGTATTAAATGAGTTAAGGCAATGTCTGGTACATTAAAAAAAAACACCTCAATAAGTAGTGTTAGCTTTTATTATTTCCCATTTTGCCTCATTGGGAATCATATCTTCCCTTAAAAGACTCTTTCTGTCTAAGTCCTGTCAACAGACTCAAAGGCAGAAGAGCTGAGACTTAAAACTCTTTGGGCAATTTAGACTAACATGTAAAATTTTGAGTGTGTTCAAATTTTAGAGGTACTACAGCAATTGTGGTTTGAGATGAATGAGAACATTCCTAAGAAAGAGATTAAAAGACGTTTTATTTAAGAGCCTTGAATTTCACGAGCCTCTTAATTATGACAATCATATATCCTAGAGGAGTTTCTGGGTCAGTCTTGATTTAAAATCAAGTTTCACTGGTCCATAAGCATTGTCACATTTGTGAGATCATGCATTTAAATGATTCAGCAAATAGGGTCACATGATCTTAAATTTGCCTCATTAGGGGTCCAGAACCTCCAGCCCTCCTGGGAAGTAGGTCTCTGGAGAGAAAGAACATGTGACTTCAGCCCTCCTCCTTCTCCTGACAGATCCAAGGCTTTCCCATCCAGGGCTGACGCTTCGCCAAGGCCCGAGACTGCGCCCCTCCCTTCTCCCAGGCCATGCTGATCGGCCTGGCCACAGCCCTGATCCTGCTGCTGGTCCTGGCCTACACCCTGCACATGCTCACCTACCTGCGCTACCTGGACCGGCACTATGACTTCATTGCCTCTCCGGCCCACTACCCCCAGTCGAAAGCTCGAGACGCAGCAGAGGAGAAGGAGCTGCTGAGTCGCCAGGGAGTTCAATGCTATGAACTGAGAAGCCAACTGACCTGCAAAATGTACGTTTAGCAGCACAGGCCCTGTCTCCCTCACAGAGTCCACAAAGGCCTCTGACAAGGGTTGTTTCTAGTCTGTGCTATTCGACTTGTGATACAAGGATTTCACCAAATAGCTTGATTTAAAAAAAAGAAAGAAAAAGAAAAGAAAGAAATACATGTACACAAATGCACAAAACACATTTTCAAGCATCCACTTACCTACTTAGATGGACTCGGAGCAATGAAAAGGGAATTCTCAGGAATCCCACAAAGACGAATATGAGCGTTTATTGCCCCAAAGCTACCTTGAAAGCAAAGGGATGTTTCAAGTTAGGGAGACAAAATAAAACAAAATAAAGATACAATATGAAGAAGGGAAAACACACTTGGTCCATCTTGCCTGTGCCAGTTTGCATGTGGTAAGTGTAGAAATAATGAATACAAGGTTACCTGGAAGTTCCAAATTTAAAATACCTTGTAACATGGTTTGCATTTTCCAGAAATTAGGTCACAATTTTGTTTTTAAAAATAAGCTTTTTTTTTGGTCTTTCACAGAACTATGTAGAGGATACTCCTGTCAATATGGTAGAACACTTCATTCAAGGGTTTTCTTGTCGTTCACTTTGCTACTCAACCCAGTTAAATCTGTGAAGCAGGGGTGATGATCTTGGTAGTATCTCCCCTTTCCCTTCTGGTTATAGCGCCAAGGTTTGTCTCACATGTCTGATTGAGACCTCTGTTAGCTCTCCTGAGTAGTGGTTGAAATAAACAACTGAGTTAAGTAAGAACGGTGTGCTTGCTTTGCAAACACAGCTTTAAGGAAAATCCCCTAAACCCCCTTCCAATGAGACAGTGTCTCCTAAACTCTTCCTGTTAGAAATTCCGGAAGCACCACTAATCTTCTTACCACCACTTTCTTCAACATGGATTTCCCCATAATCTTTTTCAGTTCCTAGCAGATAACTGAAGATTGGCTCACTCTGCATCCTCACCAATGCTCCTCTAATATGTCTTCTGTGTTAAAGAGATCTTAAGTATAAAAAGTACATTGCAGTTCCCTAACTAGGGTTCCGCACATGACCTTGGTTGTACTAAGATACCCCAGCATAAAACTTAGAATGTAGATAGGAAGAATGTGGGGTTGGGGGTCATGCACAGAAAAATTGGATCTTCTCTGAAGCTGTGTGGATGGGTCTACAGCCTATTGCCATCTTAGATGCCAATGAGCAAATGACAATGACTGTGGGATTTCTGATAGAACAGTCTCCTGTTGGACGTTTCTTCTGGCTGCGTCATTCTCAGCCATGAACATAGGTTTGCTTACAGCCCTCTCAGAATTCTGGAAGCTCCTAAAACTCTGTAGTAAATTCCTTTCTGTTTTAATACCTGGAGTAGATTCTGTAGTCTACAGCTAAGAGTATTGATTTATGTACTTATTAGTACCAAAGATGACTGCAGGGAGCAGACCTTCAAAAAAATGGGAATCTAGTATTGATTATCTGACTCTGGCTTAAAACCAGAGGGGTTCCATTAGCATTAGGGAATAAGAAACTGATAGCCCATGTCATTCCATAATGAAACAGATTTTCATTGTGGTTGCCTTAGTTGTCCATTGGTGGTATAAATGATCACTGTGATGGATTATAGGTAGGTACATGAAGGGTAAGCATAATTCATTATTCAAACTGTGACACTTTTGAAAGAGAAAGGGACTGGCAATAATTCCAAGATAACAGACATAAAGAGGATGATGCTATGCAAACTGGGATATATAGTCACACCAGGTATGGGAGATACACTGTAGAATAGGCTGGCTCTTTCTTTCTGGGCTGGAGAGCTTACAGAAAGAAAATGATAGCTCAAGATCTTAACTTAGCAGCTCAAGGCGTGGTCAAAGATCTGGGGCACTTCTGTGACTAATCTATAAAGATCTCTTACCTCTTGTCAAAGGGCTGACATAGTTAAAAATCAGATCCAGGTCTGATCCTGCAAATTGGTGAACAAATTGGTAAACTGTATTGCAGGTGGAATTCACAGCCTTTCCAGGTGTCTCATATGAACATGAGGGCATTGATTACAAAAGAGGAGCCTTGAAATAAGAATGGTAACTTTTGAGAGAATTTAGATGACTTTAAAAATGTTGAACCCCCCCAAACTCCACTAAGGTTTTCTTGCTAGTAGAAACAACCCCAGAGAGATGAATCTGTTCCTGCCCTGCTTGCAAACCCTTTGATGGCCTCACCAGGGATAGTTATCTTGCCAGTGGGTGCCTCTTTTCCTCAATGACTCTAGGCAAGTAGAGTCACATTCCCAGGGAACCAATTGCAAAGTCAAATCTGGGAGAATAAAATTGCAAGGTTTTGCTAATTTACGCAGCAAAAGACTTGGGGCAATATATGTAGAAATGGATTCTGGAGGTGCTAACTCAAAGAGTGAGGTGTTTAATTTTGGATTAGGCTGAATTTTTTGGGATGGTTTTTCTTACCAGACTTTGGATTAAATGTGCTGGTTTGAGCAGTTGGGAGTATTTTTAAGTTTTCTCAGTTGGTTGATTAAAATTTGGATTCAACAGTGTCATACACTAAATGAAACAATGATAGCAGAAATCTCTTGGTGTAATATTAAGAAAAGAAATTTAATAACTTAGAGAATTGGGATGCGGGAATGGATTTATCATGTATGACCTACTCTCCCCTCTCATAATTGTTTTCCTCTCTGAAGACCCAGAGGACACGCCTTTTGTCATAGCGCTGTGAAATACGTTGAGAAGACAGCATCGGCATTTTTGAAAAGTACTCTAGTGGCTGCCCTCTGTAGGCTATGGATTGAAGGTAGGAGATCCTTGAACTGAAATCCTTTGTCTTGATAGGGATGCTGGGACCCTGGAGCAGCAGAGATCAAGTAGCAACTTTTAAAGGGCTGAGGAGCAGGAGTGTTAATCAGATTAGATTATGTTTTTTGTGTTTTTTTTTATGGTAACGTGATCTATGACAGATGTGATTGGGCAGTCCACTGAAGTCGTTGTTCATCTGAATACCACTAATAATCATAATCTACTTCTGGTTTAAAAAGACCTCACTTGAAGCCATCATAGTGGATTCCCAGAGCTGAGACTGTTCATAGCTCAGCCCCCTTGAATGAAAAAGAGACCTCGTCAAAAAGGGCCTGAGGTCCTCATGTCTAATGTTGAGCATTATCATGAGCAATTTTATACGTGTCAATCAGCCTCTGTATTTTTACATGACTCCTGGTATGTTCTGATCTTCAGGTAAAGAATTTACACTATTCCCGTGGATACTTTTATTATCAACCCAACAGATATGTGATTGTTACCTGCAATTGTTAGTGCTGCAGGAGCATAGCCTAAAAGATGTTTGTCTTCCTGGGACGTCCAGAACAATATGGCAAAGAAAGTGATGTTTGACATGAGTAGGAGTTGACCAGGTAGGTAATGTGGAGGACAAACATGGCAGAAGGAAACACATATGTAAATATTGGACTTTATCATGGGCAAAGAACTATGAATACATATACATGGGCAGATACTTATAATGTATTTAGAGGAGTGAAGGGAGATGAAGCTGGAAGTGAAGGGAGGGACCAGATCACTGTGCTCAACTCAAGACTTAGAGACTTGACTTTAGGTGATGGTGAGGCCCTTGAGAGGATTTTAAGCAAAATGATTACATGGTACATAAGTGTGAGTAGAATAAAGAGAAATGCCAATTGGGAGATTATTACAATCATTCAGAGAAAAAAACATAATAGGACCTAAATTAAGACAATGGGGTGTGAGGAAGGAGCTATAAAAGGTGTTTAGGAAGTTGGCTCAATAGGACTTGGCAACCAGGTGGCAAATCACAAATGACTGGTAGGTAAAGTATGTAGGGTGCTGGGTGGGTGGGGGTGCCAGTCTCTGCAATAAGGGAGAAACAGGTGAGGGTAGGGGTGGGGGTAGGAGAGAGGAGAGGTCCAAGTAGGCAATTGGGTATGTGACTATGGGGCAAAACAGAGAGGTTAGGCTAGAAATAGAAAACTGGAAATGTAGCAGATGCTGTCAGTGTCCAACCCACATACCTTTGGTGCTTACCATTTCAGTGCATCCTGCCCATTTTCCCATTGCCAGTAACTGCTTTCAGAGGCTGCTCTACCAGTGCTCATGGCAGGCTAGAAGTGCTGAAGAATTAATATCCCCTCGGAATGGTCTTCATCCTTGTGTATCAATACTCTAGCTTAGGAGTCGGCAAACTTTTGAGACCAAAGAGCCAACCCTGTCCCTCACAACAATGTAGAAATTATTCGAGAGCCATAAAAACAAATGAAATCACCATTATGTGAATAATATCCTTTAAAAATTTTATAAATGAAACTATGATAGGGCCGGCCAAGTGACTCAGTTGGTTAAGAGCTTGCTTAAGAGTGCGAGCTCGCACTCTGAGCAACGGCGGTTTGATTCCCAGCCTGAGCTGAGCTGCCAACAGGTGGCAGGATGGCTCAGCTAAAAAAAAAAAAAAAAAAAAGAAAAAGAAACTATGATAGTTTATTTTCATTTTCAATTTTCCTTTAGAGCCACATGTATGTACTCAAAGAGCCGCACGTGGCTCACAAGCCACAGTTTGCTCCTGACTGGGACCTCTCTAGAATGCATTTCACACCATTTCCTGGAGTCCCCCAGCAAGACTAAGCTTTTGCTCATTGTGGTATCTTACTTGATAATGTTCAGTTGACCCCCTTCTCTGCTCTGTCTTACTTTCCTGCTCCCCTAATGATGTTTCCTGGTATCACTTTCAAAAATAAATGACTTGCATTCAAATCCTTGTCTCAAGATCTGCTCTCAGGAAACCCAAACTCAGTCTAGCAGTAAGGGGTCTAGGGGGAAAGTTGAAAATGCAGTGGTAGTGGTGATGGAGACTTGAATGAGCTCACCCAAGGAGAAAGGATAGGCTGCTAGTAGATCCTTGGGTAATCTATCCTTATGGAGTAGGATGAGAAGGAGAAATCTATAAAGGAACTAGAGTAGGAGCTCAGAAGGAAGAAGGCAAACCATGAAAAGAGTAGTGTCTCAGAAATCAAAGGCAAAAAGGTTTTCACGATGAAGGGACTAGTTAGCCATGTCAAATGCTAGAGAGCTATAGAGCAAGAAAAGAACTAAGAAGTTTTTATTCCTTGGATTTAGCCCATGGGAGGTCATCGATGAACATCATACTCCATGGAAGAGTGGGAGTAGAGAGAGCTCAGAGTGTTTATTTCCTCTGGTTTTCTCCGCGAGGGAGTACCTTGGACTGGTTTGCATTCCTTCTCTGAAGATCACTGCTTCTCTTGAGATGGCCTCCGCCACATGACTCTCTCCTTCCGGGTTTTAGTAACTTCTTCCCTTGTCCCTTTGGGTTCAGAGATGGTAACAAGTCCACGGCTACTAGCTCCAGGTGACTGTAGTGTTCCTTGTGGGTCTCCTTTATTCTACTGGGACCTTAACAAATGGTCCCTTTGGACATAAACCCTCCTTAAATGATCCTAATTTGAGAGTGTCTGCTTCCTGTTGGGTATCAGACTTATACAGAGGTTCAGACAAATTCAATTTATTTGTTGCTTTGTTTTAAAGCTAACAGCTTTTCAGAAAGAATTTAAAACAGCTATTTTAATAAAATGGAAAAAAACATAAGCATGTCGTAGGATAAGGCAGTGGTTCTAAGGCTGTGCTGTATTTTTGGTTTTTTTCTTTGCCTGCTGTGACAGTCTGAACAATGTTCACATGTGTAATACGCTCCCTTAGACACGCCCACATATTGTTACCCTCTGCCCACCTTTCAGGGCTCTATAGCCTGGTGGTTTTTGAGATCCCTGCTGCATGAAGGTCCACGGGTAGCTGCAATAGGTAGCTGCAGACAATTCCCAGATAACAAACTGAGGCATTTTTCACTCAAAAAGTCAGATCGGACTGTAAGAATAGTATTGTATTATAGGGCAGCCCTTGAATATTCTCTAATTTATGCAAACAGTATTAAAAAATCATTGCTAATAAGCTGCATGGGCACACCACCAAATTGATTGCCCCTGCAGTTGGGAGCTCCTGAGTTAGAAGGAAGGAACCAGGGTATAGAGCTGCGGTTCTCAACCTCCCTAATGCCGCGACCCCTTAATACAGTTCCTCATGTTGTGGTGACCCCCAACCATAAAATTATTTTCGTTGCTACTCTATAACTAATTTTGCTACTGTTATGAATCGTAATGTAAATGTCTTTTTGTTTTCCGATGGTCTTAGGCGACCCCTGTGAAAGGGTCGTTCGACCCCCAAAGGGGTCGCCACCCACAGGTTGAGAACCGCTGTTATAGAGAAAGGTTAAAAATATATACGTGTAGTATATATTCCAGAGAGGGGAGAAAATTGGTGGAACAAGGTTCCCAGAGAAACCTTAATGTGGCAGATTTCCTTTTGGGGGGCGGGATGGAGAGGCCACTTGTTTTTCCTCCATAGAGACACATAGATGTGACACAACCTTTTGGGGAGAACACTGAACAGCTGTCTCTTCTGCCTCTAACCCTGCTTGTGCTGTCTATGCCTTCACACCTCAAGAGTTAGGAAGACACTGAAATGAAAAGATCCAGCTTTTCTGTGACTTTTGGGGACAACATTATGTCAGATTTTTTTTTTTTAAGATTTTATTGGGGAATTGTGGGGAGGGGAACAGCGCTGGGGAATCGGGGGAAGGGGAACAGACAAGTTGCTGTTGTTTTGTTCTTCAGTCTAATTGTGGAGGATGTCGCTTCACTGGCCCAAGTTGGCACCATCATTGCGCTCTTCCCGGGCGAGGCAGATCAGCCACTGGCCTCTGGATGGCCGCTCACGGCGGCTGCTGGCTATGCACGGTAGCCCATGGCAACCCACTGCAGCAGGGACTGCAGCCTACGCCGTCGCCGGTGACTCATGGCAGCCCAGCTCCAGGTCGAGCTGCCGCCTACCATCCTAGCTGCAGAGGGCAGTGTCACTGGCCCTCATATGTGGGATCCGAACTGGGGCCCTCTGGCATCCCAAGCCAGTTCTTAACCAATGTGCCACTCGGCCGGCCCATCAGATTTTTCTCTGTATAGTAGAACTTGCAATGTTTGCTGTATGCTTTCAGTTGCTGTGATCATCAGCATTTTATAAGGACCACATGATACTAGAGCAAAACTTCTAGTTCCAAATAAATGGCATTTAAAATGTGGTTTGGACCATCTGATAATTTTTGAAGGAAAAATAGGACAAATGTAGGTGGTCAAACTTAGTTGTTATAATGGTTGTTATATTGCATCACATGTAACTCTGATGCCGGCCACCTGGGAGTCCCTAAGTCTTCTGGCCTCTGGGGTCAGCCATGGTTTTACTCTCCTAATAAAGTATCTTGAGTCTCCTTAGTGTTAGAAATAAATCTGCTCCCCAAGATAGCTGAGAATTCAGCCGGAGGGTGGAGCTGTAGTAACGTCTATTGTTTCTTCTAGTGACTTCTGTTCCCACTGTTTCTTCTAGTTCTGGTTTCCTGTCTCTGTTGATTTCCAGTCGCCCCTCTGGTGGTGATGTCACCTTCTCCCATTGCTGTCAGTTCCTGGAGCTGCTGTCTGACACTGACACGAGCATCATGCCAGTTACGAACTTCTACGGAAAGTCAGGGGATAACAGGGTAATTGTACCATAGGCCAGGGAAGAATTCCAAATTCTCTCTTCATGGACTTGCAATTCCCTGTCACAGGGAGTTTCTCACTGGCCAGCTTTCTCTTTTGACCCTGAACTTTCACCATCTTGGAAGCTTCTATTTTTCTTCCCACCAAACCTCTCACAATCATGGAGGTTGGGCCCTAAAAACCTCACGTTTTATAATCAACGTACTCAGTATGGTGTTGGTGTTGTTATTAAAGAAAAGGGCTTTTCTCTCGCATCAGAATTCTTTCTTTGTAATCCACCCAGGTCAAACTCAGGCACTTTTAAAATAACAGGTCTTCATCTATTGATATCTATCTGTCCTTCCCTCCCTCACCCCTTCCCTTTATCCATCCATCCATCATCCATCCACTCATCCATCCTGTTATATATGTGAGATAAATGTGGTTTTACAATGTTAAAAAAAACCAACTTAAAATATGTTTAAAAAGTATATATGTTAAGGCCATGAAAGATACAGACTAATTCTTCAATTTAAAAGTTATAACAGAAAAGCTTTGAAACATGAAGAGAAAACATTTTGTTCTTAGCAAAATATTTGACTGTCAAATGCATATTTTTACATGTTTTAGTTAAGAAGCTAAACTTTATTTTCAACTATACTACAATGTTTCCCAAAATGTTCATTTTTTTTTCCCAGCAATGGCATCACTGTAAGCAAAACTCATCTCTGGCCTTAAGAGTTTGTGTCACGTTTATGTGAGGCACTGAATTTAGAAATCTACCCCATGGTCTCAAATTCTTCTTTTAAAACAGGCATAGTCTTATTCCCACCTCAATGAATCATTCCAATGAGATATGAAAACCTCTTTATTTGTTATTAATCTTTCTGTTTTATAAGAGGGTCCTGGTGCAGGAGAATATGTTTGTGGAGACTGGGATACATGCTCTACCATTACTTAGTCTTCCTCTCCTTTCCTTGGCTCCTATGCCCCCCGCTCCATCCCTCTTTTTGCTGAAGGTCTGCATATTCTGAGGCTGAGCCTCATTTCCCAGTGCAGCCCTCCTTCTCATGATGGTTTCCTGAATGCAAACTCCAGTGAAGGCTGAATTGGCTGAATTTACTTCATGTTTGTATGCTTTGTGGTCAGGACTCAGGACTTGCCGACCTTCTCCATTTGTTTTCAGTTTGCATTTATTTCATCCTGCAGCTGCAAAAGGGTTTTATGTTTGTTTTCAGGGAAATCAACTCTGAACTGACCTCAAGTGCAGGAAGACCTCTGCGGGGACAGATGCAGATTTTGAAATGCCTAGTATTTGGAAGATCCTCTTTAGGAAAATGAATATAAAATGACAAATATAAATTAGGCATGGAGGTGATTATCTATATAGAAAGAGAAAACAAATTGTAACTAATTAAAAATCTTGTAAGTTGACCACATTTGAAATAGCTTATTTTTACAACTTTTAGAAAAACATGCAATCATAAGAATACAATGCTAGGGACCCTTCCAGGGCTATGGAAGAGACCCGTATGAGAGAGAGGGAAAGAGGAAGAGAGAAAATATGAATGAATGTATGGATTTTTACAGAGATTTGACCTCATACATAACTCTGGACACTGGTTAAGTAGTCTCTGTGATCCTGTTGTCTTGATGTCTGATGCTAAAGCTTGAAGTCTGAGTTGCAGGCAACTGCAAAGGGAAGATGGATGTAAAGTGGGGGAGAACAAGGACAAGCTAAAATTCATGAAGAGGAGTTGGGACCATGAAAATGAACTGGGACCTGTGTCAGTTTTCACTGCTTCCAACCTTGATAAAGGAGTGTTCCTTGTCACAGAGCTAAACAAATGGCCCAGGAGTTAAAGATGGTGAAGGACGACCCAGGAGAAGATGGAGCAGATGCAGGCCTGGGTGCTGCCCTGTGCTAACAAGGTGAGTCAGCAGACAAATGACAATGTGCCTCAGCTACAAATGTTCCTGACTGTACCTTTTAAAGGTTAAAAACAATATGGCTGCTGCTTTACTTCCATCTTTAAATCTCATGCAAATACATCTCTCAAACATGATTCATCTTAACCAGAAACATACAGAGAAGTGAATCTGGAAGACACAGTTTGGCCTAACTCTATTGACGTATTACATCTTATTGTCAACTTGGCATCCATATATGTCTCTGAAAACTTATTTTAAAAATAAATATATTAACAAAGTCATACTTCTGCCTAACATGATACAGTGACAGTGTATACAACTGAAAATATGCTAACCCTTTCTCCAAAAGTGGATGCTAATCCCCTTTTGTGTATTTGGCCATGTTCATTCTTCTCATAGGTTATTCAACCTCCTGTTTTGATATCCCGTAACTTAAATACTAAGATATAAGATTAGCAACCATTACCCATCTTCTGTTAGAAGGTAGTGGAATGGGAGAGGGAAAGAAAATAAAATTATTTCACACACACACACACACACACACATACACACATACACATACACATCAGAATAAGGAAGAAATACTCATGACTGCCATACTCCTCATTTCTGCCATTAGTCCCATGGTCTAGCTGGTATTTGTAGTTGCCATCTCCTGCTAGTTGGAGTTGTATGTCTGGTGGGGTAACCTAAACATTTATTCCTGAAGCCTCTGGGCTGTTAAGCAGTCTTGCCTGAATTGACTTGTTGCAGTTTCCATTGACTTTAATCACAGGACATGGGAGTACTGAGAGGCACCCCAGGGGTCCTCTCTGCCCGGTTGTGCAGTGGCCATCCAATTTTCCCTTGATAGGATCACGAGGACCATTAGAATAACCCAGGGTTTCCATACTATTGGCATTTGGGGCTAGATAATTTTTTGATGTAGGGTGAGCTGTCCTGTAGATTTTTGGATGTTTAGCAGCATCCTTGACCTCTATCTACTAGGTGCTAGCAGCACTCTCCTCCCATAGTTGTGACAAACAAAAATGTTTTCAGGCATTTTAAATGCCCCTGGGGCAAAATTGCCCTCAGTTGGGAACCTCTTTCTTTGCCAGTGATTCATAGGCGGAAGGACCCTAAAGAGGCTATGTGGCAGTCTCAACTTCCAGTTCAATAGAATCAGTGTTTTCTCCCCTAAGGAAAACATCCCTCTTAGGATCTAAGAACTTAAAAGCAGCTGAGCCTAAAGCTGCAACAATGGAAAGCAAAAACTTTGATTGCCAAGGAAAGTTAGTTGAGATAGCACACAACCGAGATACTGTTTTTTGTTTTGTTTTTCTACTTTGATTTTTTTTTCATTCCAGCTTCATTGAAATATAATTGATACATAAGATTTTGTAAGTTTAAAGTGTACAACACAGTGATCTGATAACACTTACATGTTGCAAAATGATTACCACCATCACATTAGACAACAATTCCATCATGTCACATAATTACCATTTTTGTTTTGTGGTGAGAACATTTAAGACACGATCACTTAGCAACCTTCAAGTATATAATACAGTATTGTGAGCTATAATAAATATATATATATTAGATCCCCAGGACTTATTTATCTTATAACTGGAAGTTTATAGTTGAGATTTTCTTTTTTTTCAGCTTTTAGAATCCAAAATTTGTTCTTCTCTTTAGACAGTTCCTTGCTCTAGGCTCTGTGCTGTCTTTCAAGGTAGAAATCCCTGGCCCCAGGAATTCCTTTGTATGTATAAAATCACATTGTGATGTGAAAGAGCATTGAACCAGGAATTTAGAAGACCTGTGTTTTAGTGCTAATCATGCCACTTTCTAGTTTAATTCCGCAAACAACTCAAGGTCATGCTACTACACAAACAGCTCAGGCCCATGTACTGTGGAAACTCAATGTGCTTCCTCGCTATTCCTGCCCACGCCCAGAGGCTGACTTTCTCATGGTCTCCTGGGTCTCCAGCGGCTTCCTATGCACCTTGCAACTGTTTGTGTAGTTAATCCTGACTTGAGACAACATCCTCTCCACGTCCCACTGACAGTTATTGCCTAGACAGCATTTTCAGGTCCACGGATGAACTATGGGCGGTGGGGAAGCTCTTGGCAGTCTGGGTCTTAAAAGAGATACTTCTAAATTGCCATGGCCAACATGAACCATGTCATACCCTGACAGTGTTTGCAATGCTGTTCTTTGGATGGGGTCTTCTCTTAGATAATTAAAACTGGCTGCCTTTGTTTTTTCCAGCTTTTAGGTTCTAGTCTTGCAACCTTTTCAGCCCATAGATCAGCTTTGTGGGCCCATGCCTGGGTCTGGTCGTTTGGTCCTCTGCATCTCATAACTGTATATGACAGGAGGAAGCCGGTAGGGAAATGAAAACTAGCTCTTCTCCTGGGGTGTTACAGCAGAGAAGGACTAAGCCGCTATTCCAGATGTCTTTAGTTCATAGACTCTACCTTGGGGCTGGGAGGCCACCTGTGGTAGATTGTTTGCAAAATGGCTACTGTTCTTCCCCTCTCTTCATCTGCATCCCTTGTGATGTAACTGCGCAGTTGCTCCCCTTAAGAGGTGGAATATGCTTCCCCAGTATTTGCATCTGGGCTGGCCTGATGATTTGCTTTGGTCAGTGGAATGCAGCAGAAGCAATTCTCGGTCGATTCTGAGTCTAAGCATCTGTGTGTTCTCCTGGAACACTGTTCAGCTGCCAAGTAAACCGTGATGGAGGCAGAGCCTGCTAGAGGGTGAGACACCGCCTGAAGGAGAGAGAGAGACAAGCCATCTGGGCTGAGGCCATCCTAAACTCACCAGCCCCTAACTGACGCAGCAGTTGTCCACAGATGTCTAAGTGAGCCTAGCTGAGACCTGAAGAACTGCCAACTAATGTCAGCCTAATTGCCCACCTGCAGAATTATGAGCTAAAGCATGGTTGTTTTCAGCTACTATGTCTTGGAGTGGTTTGTTATACAGCCAAAATTTACTGATATGTCATCAAAGTTAGAAGCATTTCCAAATTAGAAGTTATGTCCACACCTGAGTTATTGCACCTGCCACATAGGAGGAAAGAAAGAGCAGAGGATGAACCATATATGAAAGGGAAGAGATCTAAAAGGAGGAATATATAGTCAGGTGGCTATTACTCATAGCCAGTTCTGGCTATAATCCAATTTCCTCTTCCACTAAACAGATGACTGACAATTTAGGAGGAGTCTTGTTTACCTGACTCAGAAGTTCTCCACCCTGGCTTAAGTAAAGGGAAATTA